GTGGTTAGGTGTGGGACACCTTCTTCACTGCTGTGCCCTCATTGACATAACAGAGAAAGCCCTATCCCCAGACAGGATCACATCCACAAGTATGGGGGTTAGGATTCCCACATTTATTTTGGGGGTACAATTCCATCCATCACAGCTGTAGACCGTGGGGACCCTCGGGGGATTGCCAGCAGAGCAGCAGCATGAACATACTTACGTTTGGAAGGATCACTTGGGGAGGCGGTGTGGACAAGGGCTTGAAGAGAAGCTGGAGGGGCTTTCCTTCCATCTCAGCCACACTGCGCTCGGCCCTGCTGGTGGTGCTGGACTCTTAAGGGTCCCTACAACGCCCGTCGTGTCCTAGTTCACTGTGTTCCTCCAGTCCACTCCCGTCAGCTGACTCGGTCTTGCTCTGTCCTGTGGGTGGAGACAGTCCCCCAGACCCCAGGACCACAGTGCTACCGGAGTCCCTGCGCTGGACCCCACCGGCCACAAGCAGATGGCACTGATGGCGCCTCGGCTTCAGTTCCTAAGTGAGAACCGTAGGGCGATTGCGGTGGCTTCTCACGAACCACTCGGAGAACCACATGGATCCAATAACAAAGGCTTACAGTGACAATCGCTTTGTGGCTGCGGAAGTGTATTCAGCTTGGCTCCTGGTTTCGATTGTCATCTTAACTGCTCCTTCCCAGGGCTCAGGCTGACCCAGGTCCTGGGGTCTTCCCTCTGTCTTGCTCCCTCTGGGTTGCACTGTGTTTATGGCCCGTGTGCTTTGAACTTCAGCAAGCTTCTCTCTCTATTTGGCTGCCCTGCTCCACCGGGCCTCCCTGGCTCGGCCACAGCTTATTCCAGTGGGGCACAGACCATGTGGCCTGTCCCGTCTGTGAGATATTCCCAGTGTGAATACTGAAGGTCCTGATTCATCTTGAGTCTTCTCTGAAACATTAATTGAAGCCTCCGCTGCATGGGGAGGAAACCCTGGTGGCGTAGTGGTTAATGCTACGGCTGCTAACCGAAAGGTCGGCAGTTTGAATCCACCAGCTGCTCCTTGGAAACGCTATGGAGCAGTTCTACCCTGTCCTGTAGGGTCGCTGTGAGTCAGAATCGACTCCAGGCAATGGGTTTGGTTTTTGTTTTTTTTCTCCCTTGTTGTTGGATGCCGTCAAATTGATTCCGACTCATAGTGACCGCACAGGACAGAGTAGAACTGCCCCATAGGGTTTTCTAGGCTGTAATCTTTATGGAAGCAGATCCCCAGGTC